TCGTTTACTCTGAAATCCAATCTTAGTCAATTCTTTAACTTAAAGCTTCCGAAATGAGAATTCCCTTTCCAAATCAACTCCGAATTTCCCGGAATTCAATTCCGACCATGCGTACAAGTCATAATACCTGAAGTGAAGTTGTTCATGGCCCCAAACTGCTGAACGATGCGCTAGAGCTCAAAACGACCGGTCGGGTCGTTACACTCAAAATGGCCTTGCAGAGTCATTTATCAAATGCCTGCAATTGATAGCAGGACCACTACTTATGAAAACAAAATTGCCCACTACTGTTTGGGGCCATGCTATCTTGCATGCAGTATCACTTATCCGTCTCAGACCGACACATTATAATAAATATTCTCCGTCACAATTAGTTTTTGGTCATGAACCAAATATTGCCCATCTACGAATTTTCGGATGTGCTGTATATGTGCGAGTAGCACCACCACAACGCAGTAAGATGGAACCACAGAGAAGGATAAGAATATATGTTGGGTTTGAATCACCCTCTATTATTCGCTATCTTGAACCATTGACAGGAGATTTATTTACTGCTCGATTTGTAGATTGTCGGTTTGATGAAATAAATTTCCCACAATTAGGGGGAGAGAAAAAGGAAATCAAAAGAGAAATTGTGTGGAAAGTTTCATCATTATCTCACTTTGATCCACGTACCCATATATGTAATCAGGAGGTCCAGAAGATCATCCATTTACAGAATATAGCAAATCAAATGCCAGACGCATTTACTGATTTGAAAAGGATACCTAAGTTACATATCCCTGCAAAGAATGTGCCTATCCGAATTGATGCCCCCCATCTACTAGCATGAGAGCTAGTGAACCTAAAGCACGCCTGAAGCGTGGTAGGCTTTTGGATTCTAAGGATCGAAATCCTCAAAAAAGAAAATTGACAAATGATCAAAACGATACTATGAAGGGATCTCCTGAAGAGACCCAAGATCTGATTAATTCTGAGATTCCTAAAGAAATCAATGAACCCGAAGCTCATGTGAGTGAGGAACTTTTAATAAGTTCGACCGGTGATGGGATTAGTTTAAATCGATCTGAAATAGTGGTGGATAATATTTTTGCATATAATGTTGCACTTAATATTATGCAAGATAGTGAGGATCTTGAACCCCAATCTGTCGAAGAATACCGACAAAGATCTGATTGGCCAAAATGGCAAGAGGCAATTCAATCGGAATTGAAGTCACTTGCTAAAAGAGAGGTCTTTGGACCAGTAGTCCAAACACCTGCTGGTATAAAACCAGTTGGTCATAAATGAGTTTTTGTGCGAAAAAGGAATGATAAAAATGAAGTTGAAAGATACAAAGCTCGCCTTGTTGCACAAGGATTCTCACAACGACTTGGAGTCGATTTTGATGAAACATATTCACCTGTTATGGATGCCATAACATTTCGATATCTCATCAGTTTAGCACTACATGAAAAGCTTGAAATACATCTAATGGATGTAGTTACAGCTTATCTGTACGGTTCACTTGATAATGAAATTTATATGAAAATCCCTGAAGGATTTAAAATGCCTGAAGCGAATTCAAAATCTCAGGAAATGTATTCAATTAGATTACAAAGATCTTTGTACGGTTTAAAGCAATCTGGGCGCATGTGGTATAATCGCCTTAGTGAATATTTGCTGAAAGAAGGTTGCATAAATGATGTTATTTGTCCATGTATTTTTATAAAGAAAATGGCATTAGAATTTGTTATACTTGCTGTTTATGTTGATGACATAGATCTTATTGGAACTCCAGAAGAGCTCCAAAAGGCAATTGAATATCTTAAGAAAGAATTTGAGATGAAAGATCTTGGAAAGACAAAACTTTGTCTTGGTCTGCAAATTGAACATTTAGCAAACGGGATCTTTATCCATCAGTCTGCATATACTGAAAGGATCTTAAAACGCTTTTACATGGACAAAGCGCACCCATTGAGTACACCAATGGTTGTTCGATCACTTGAAGTGAATAAGGATTTGTTCCGTCCTCCAGAAGAGGATGAGGAACTCCTTGGTCCCGTGGTACCCTATCTCAGTGCAATTGGTGCACTAATGTATCTTGCTAATGCTACAAGGCCTGACATAGCATTTTCTGTTAATTTACTAGTAAGATACAGTTCTTCTCCTACGCGAAGACATTGGAACGGGATTAAGCATATATTGCGATATTTAAAGGGGACTCTTGATATGGGTTTGTTTTATGCTAACAAAGATAGTGCAGATCTTGTTGGTTATGCAGATGCAGGTTATTTATCTGATCCCCATAAAGCTCGATCTCAAACCGGGTACGTGTTTACATATGGAGGTACGTCATATCATGGCACTCCACAAAGCAATCTATTGTTGCTACTTCTTCAAATCATGCTGAGATAATAGCTATTCATGAAGCAAGTAGGGAATGCATATGGTTGAGATCAATAATTCATTTTATTCGAGAAAAATGTGGTTTGGAATGTGAGAAAAGACCAACAATTTTATACGAAGACAATGCTGCATGCATAGCCCAATTGAAGGGAGGATTTATAAAAGGAGATAGAACGAAGCACATTTCACCAAAATTATTCTACACAAACGACCTTCAGAAAAATGGTGACATTAATGTGCAACAAATCCGTTCAAGTGATAATCCAGCAGATTTATTCACTAAATCTTTGCCAACTTCAACTTTTGAGAAGATATATACAAGATTGAAATGCGGAGACTCAAATATTTGAAACAATGTTTTCATCAAGGGGAGTAAATACGCGATGCACTCTTTTTTCCTTACTAGGAATGGCAGGCGGTGCGGGTGCGGGGCGGGTTCTGTTTGAACCCGCGAAATTTAAACCCATCCCGTCCCNACCCCTAAAAAATACCCCCCCCCGCCCCCGCCATAGAATTTAAACCCGCACTTCACCCGCCCCGCACTCCACCCGCGTTCACCCGCCCCGCCCCGCACCCGCAATTTCTTTTTTTTAATTTATAACAGTGGCACGGTAGTCATTCGGACGATTCTAAATTACAAATTACTTATTTGTTCTTTGAAAAAAACTAAGAAGAAACATTTGAACGGTTAAATAGAATTTATGAATTTTGAGTCTAATTAATTTGTTGTCGAAATTAACAACTTTAACGTTGGTATATAAAGAGGACAATAAATTCACAATCAATGCAATTTAAGGTAGATAAACTTCTTTAATTTTAATTTGATTTAATCCTAATCGTAATCCCAACTTGAGGATTGAGCAATGAGGACAATCCTCAGAAAAAGCAAGCTGATTTTGACTGGTGAAATGAAACATCTGTTCGTCTTCTTATTATATTTTCTTTAGCGAAAATCTCCACTATGTTATTTTGTGTCTAATAAAAAAATACCAAATAAATTCTTCATTTTCATTTGTTAGGTAATTCAAACTTCTCAAAATACTGATCTAAGTTGTACCTACTTTGTTACTAAATATACACTCAAATCGCCAAAAATATTGGATACAATTATAAATATAAATAAATATAAAATTTAATGCCCTACAACTCCTCTCTAATAATTAATGGAGTAGAAAGTATTTCTTTCGTATTTTTCTGGCTTCTATTTCTATTTATTTTACTTTGTTTTATATTTTGTTATAGTTAAACATGGAGTATCAGTTACTTACTGAACCAGAATCCATCCTTAATCAAATAATTAAATCTAACGTTTAAAATCGAATTTAAGCTTATTCCCGTTTTCAAATATTTTCGAAAAAGGAATTGTTTGATGGCATTTGTATCAGTTACCAAAATCTTAGAGACGAGAGATGAGCCGTTTTAAGTCTGATTGAAATTGGGAGTATTTGGGACTAGGGTTTTAAATATTATTTAGCCTTTTAAAATTAAATCCCCACCACCGACCCGCCCCGCCCCGCATTTTTTTTTAATTAAAAATTGAACCCGCCCCGCCCCGCAACCGCAAAATCTCAAACCCGCCCCGCTAACGTTCAAATCTGCCCCGCACCCGCACCGCCCCATTGCCATCCCTACTCCTTACTAAGGTTTTCTCCATGGGGTTTTCCTTATAAGGTTTTTAATGAGGTACCTAGCAATGCGTATTACTAAATATGTGTACTCTTTTTCCTTCACTAGGATTTTTTTCCCACGTGGTTTTTCCTAGTAAGGTTTTAATGAAGCACATTATCTTTTAGTGAACATCCAAGGGGGAGTGTTATAAATATATTACATTATGGATGTTCATTTAGTACTCCGTTGTAAATAAGCTTCCTGAAGAAGCTTATCCATATGGGACTCCGCCGTAAATATGTTTATTTATTTAGTACTTTATTGGAAATAAGCCTCCTGAAGAAGCTTATCACTTCGGTACCCGGTTATGGATAACATTATCCCCTGTAGAAGATTATCCATACCGGGTATAATAAGCTTATCCTTTCGATACTCCGTTATGGATAAATATTACCCTCGGTAGAAGATTATCCACACCGGGTATAATAAGCGATACTCCGTTATGGATAAACATTATCCCCGGTAAAAGATTATCCATACCCGATATAATGAGCTTATCCTTTCAGTACTCTGTTATGGATAAACATTACTCTAAGTAGAAGATTATCCATATCTGGTATAGTAGCAGCTTACACAGCAGCTTGCAGTAGCAGCTTACACAGCAGCTTGCTTTCTTCTATAAATAGAAGAGATTTCAGTTCATTATGTACATCAGTTTGAATTCGAATAATATATCAGTTTCTCTCTATTCTTGTCTTTACTTTACGGTCTTTATTTTATAACACAGATGTGTTTCTTAGCTTTAAATTGTTTTGTTTTTCTACTCTTCTTTTGAAATTTGCATTAATTTCCGACTTCAGCAATTTTGATGAAGCTTCAATCTACAGTTCTTTTAACTTTTTGCTTTTTCTTCATTCCTAATGAAACCAACATATGACCATTAGTCTATCTATTGGAATAATAAAATTGGTCACAAACAAAACAGTACATCGTCAAAAGGAAATGACACAGCAAAACAAAAAAATAAAGTAAAAGTACTGCAACCCAACTTTTATAGATGTATTGCATAACATTCAGGATCTAAGAGACAACTAGCTCATGTGAACAGAACATTGAACAGCAGTTAATTACACTTGCGGAGAAAAAGAAACAACAGATCGACCACTTATCCATCTCCATGGCACTTTCTGAAAATGTCTCACAAGTAAATATTTACTTCAGATGTTCCAATTCAAACAGAAAAGAACTACTATGTCCCAAATATGCCCTGATCGAGTCAAACTATAACCGAAGATTCTTGTATGCCTCAACTAATGTATACCAGCAGTAGTTACTGCATATAGGGCATCATTCAACCAGCAACCAGACCTTGCCACCCCTTGCTTTTCTTTTTGTTTTTGGGAAAAACCCCTTGTTTACCCTTGAAGACTAATAGCCCTTCAGCTTCTGCCTTCAGGATGCGAAAAGATCCAACAGCATAAATTTGGGCTCCAAGTGATAACTACACCTCTTCCATTCCTTTACTATCGAATAGCTGGAAGTCTGCATCTACATATCCACTTTATACAACCTTAAATTCGCTTGTTTCACCTTTCCGGTTGCACATATCAAGACATTTACAAGCAAGTGATATCATTTGCACATAGTGAACGCTAAAGAGCAACTGGAGCCACAGTGCAGCAGGACCATAAAAAAACTCAACAAAACGATAATGCAGGCTTTGCTATGGAAATATATAGAACAAGAAACTCAATTAGGCTAAAGTTTCACCTCTTTTTGCCTACAGTTTGCCATCACAAGATAATAGGTCGGGCCAAGGTTTTGCCAGTCTGCTTACAGTTTGCTATCAGAGCGTGAAGTTTCCACTGGGGATCCCAAGTTAGTACCACTCACTGCTATCAGAAACTGAAGAATGCCAAGCATGTGATGACCGATAAACAACACGCGATACGGGGTATCACCTTGACTTAGGAATTGAGACTAATCTAGTACATTTGATTCTTTCACTCGTAACTTTCATCTGAGTATTCTTCATCATGCTTCAGTTCTGTGGAGGCCTTATTACCTCTCATTAAGTTTGCTAGTTCTTGGATTAAACTAGATGTACTTCTTTCCATCTTATCTGCAAGTATCTCTGTTTGCTCTGCAAATCCATGACCCACTAGCCTTTTTCTCAATATTTCACAGGTTGTTGTATATGGTGGAATGCCTTCATCTATCATCATTTCGAAATATTTACATGCTTCCTCGAGTTTGCCTTTCTTCTGACAGAGACCATGCACCATGACAGCATACGTCGAGACTGAAGGATAAAATTTCCTGTCTTCCATGCTCTCCCAAACTTTCTCAACTCTATCAAACCTACCCACCCTAATAAGCATCTTAAGCAACATATTATACGTATGCCTATCTGGTGTGCAGTTGTTACGTTCCATTGCCGAGATCAGCCTAAGTGCCAAGTTAATTTCATTATGATCACAATGAAAAGCTAAGATTGTATTGTAACTCCAACAATCAGGTGTTACCCCTCCGTTAATCATCTCATCTATCAGTCGGTAAGCCTCATCAACCTTCTTGGTCTTACAAAGCTTTTTGATGATACAGTTATACGTGAATACATTAGGCACAAGTTTGTACCTTTTCATCTGTTCAAGAACCCTGAAAGTTGAATGAATATCATTTACCGCGCAATAACCATGAATGAAAATTGAATAAGTAAAAGCATCAGGTACCAGTCCAATGGACCTCGTCTTCATGAAAAAACTGAAGGCCTCATCCATCTTACCAGCCTTGCACAGTGAGTCCAGAATACTATTATAAGCTGGCAAGTCAACTGCATAGCCTCTTTCAAGCATTTCATCGAAAAGCTTTTGTGCTTCGGCAACTTCGCCCAATTCTCCCCATCCCCTAATCAGAATGCTGTAAGTTTTCACAGTCGGCACGAAATCATTCTTCACTTTGTAAAAGAACTCTTGCGCTTGCTTCGTATGCTTTCTTTTACATAGTGCAAGCAAAAGCTTATCGAGATCCGTTACACATGGTTTAATCCCAAAATCTACCATTTTATTAAAAGCCCTAATTGCATCAGCTGGCAAACAAGCTCTACTATAAGCCCTAAAAACAAGCCAGAAAATTTCGGGAGTAATTTCGCATGATTTATTCACTCTCATTTCTACAAGGAAGTCCCATAACAAGGGGAATTGTTTACTACTTCCTAATATATCAACAAGAATGTGATAGCTTTGTTGAGTATGGCAAAAACCTGATAACTTTTGCGCCCATATGAAGAACCTGTGAGCGGAGAATCCGAGATTTTTGCAACGTTTGAGGACTTGTTCAACTACGTCGGTTGAAATTCTGCTGGAAAATGGATTGAGGGCTGACTCTATGTCGTGGTGGGGGTTTCTGTAGTCGCTAAGAACACGACAAAGTTCATTCACCAGGTGTGGAGAATGTTGGTCTGAGTTTTCAGGTTCACGTTTTGTTTCTGCAACAGTAAATGAGGATATGAACGGAGAGCCGAGAACACCGCTGTAAATGGGTAGATAAGCCAACAAGGAAGAAGAAGGGTAATACAGGAAGCTTTTGGGTGGAGGAAGATAGCAATGGAAGAGTGTTCGGGAGAAATGATGTACACTTCTGGAACGAAGAAATGTCCTAATCGCCATTATTCCTATTTCAGAAGCTGAAGACTCCGTACCAATTCATTCCTTTTCATGGATCAGAAACCATGGAAAGATTTGCTCGTTTTTTTGTCCATTACCGTTAAGCGGGAATTCAACGAGTATCCAGTGTTCTGCAAGTGAGTTTGATTCAATCCCTTGGGCTTTTATGAATTGGGTCCTAACCCCAAGATATGTCGGGCTGAAGTCCACGAGAAAGATCCCAATGAAAAGAGACCTTTAAACAAAGAAACTTTTACCTCCTATAGCAAATGTTTATACCTAAAAAATTGTATTCCATAGCTACCTTTTGATTGTTATAGCCAAATATCTATTTATGGTCACCTCCTACTCTTAAGCCATAAAATACGCCTTGTATTATTTTTCATTCTCATTCTTTCAGATTTTTCTCCACCATCTCTCCCTCTCAACTCCAGTCTTTCTCCATGGATACAACCACAATTCTCCCAAATACAGATCGAAATAATTTTTGTCCCTTCTTCCTTTCTCCCTCCGGTGCGTATCGGGTCGAACTGAATCCGAAGTCCCCAACTCCCCTATCTCTCTGAAAAATCCGATTTTCAAATTCTAATTTTAGGGCTCATCCATCATACACTGCGGCAAATCAATGTTGTTTTCAAGGAATCCAGTGCATTGAACTTAGTGTTTCTTTTGCCCTAGTTTGTTTTGCATTTAATTTTTTGCCTTTTCTTTTGTTGTTTAAAACGAGTAAAGAAGTTATCTTTATTGATAGATTTGGTGGAGGAGAATTTTGAAGCATGACAACAGCAGGTAGACCTACATGGGCGCCAGCTAAAGGTGGGAATGAACAAGGTGGAACTCGAATTTTTGGTCCATCTCAAACACAGTGGCGTTTCGAGTCAGAATCGCGGCCCTCTCGACGAGACGACATTAGGGTTGTTCTTGAACAAAGACGACGGAGTTTGGGGCTGAGCAACTTGAATTTTCTGTTAATATATTTCAATGTATCTCGTTGTATTTCCGTGTATTTCATTGTATTCATTGTCTTTTTTTTCATTGTATTTCAATGTATCTTGCTGTATTCCATGTATTTCATTGTATTCACAGTCTCGTTGTATTCCATGAATGTATTCATATATTTTTTTAATTAATATAATTTATGTATTCAGATGTATATATGTATTCAAATTGCTCTGTTTTTGTTGTATTTATCGGTTGGGAAAATATTCAGCATATTTTCTCTGAAGATTGCTATATTTTTGGGGTGTTTTCCGGTTGAGAATCTTTTTTATAATTGGAAATGCAAATTTTGTGTGTTATAATTGAGTTTGTTGAGTTATATTAGGAGCCTATTATGTTAATTGATTCACTTTCCGTTTAAAAACAGCTGAATAGACCATGAATTGCGCTATTTATGTTACTGTATCCACAAATACATATTGTGAATACAGTCGAATACAATAATCTGTCTAGCTGCAATCCCCTGTTTCACGCCGTGAGTACAGTCGAATACAAAAATCTGTCTAGCTGTAATTCCCTGCTTCACGCCAAGAAATGCTACTGTATTCATGAATAGTAGCTTAAATACATCGAATACACTCTAAAAACCCTGAAAATATAGCTATAGGAAGTAATATAGTAAATGGTAGCTACAACTAGCTAATAACCACTAAAACATAGTGGTTTCTGAAAGTTTCTCTTAAACAAAAAAGGAAATTTTACCTCCTATAGCAAATGTATACATCCTATTTATTATATATCAAAATTATTATAAATTATTATTTTTTATAGCTACCTTTTATATTTTATAGCAAAATAAGTATTTATGGTATATACTACCATTGAGGCATGAAATAAGGCATGGAATACGGTATTTATGTTTTTCCTCTCTCTTAGACAACCGAACATACCTATTTTTAAGGTGATTGTCGTTATTGTATTCATGAATACATGGCGCGAATACATGAGAATACATGCACGTACAGTTTGGTAATAAATGTGAATATTACAAACTTCTAGTACAACAAGACCTCAAACATCAAAACACCTTTCTAAGTACAAACTTTCATGACTTTTGAATTAAAAAACTATAGGATTTCTAACTACATGCTACTTCCTAATTACATAATCTTTGTATCATCAATGGACACTGCTTTGCTCTTTTGGACTCTGCAAACATGCCTAATCTGTCCACCATCTCCTTTTTAATTTGCCTAGTACAAAATTCCAGATTCAAACTAATTTGTATGAAAATTCTCCAGTTCCTCGCTTGCCAAGTGTGGTATACCATTGCTCCTATGATTGCTATTGCAACCTCCTTCTTTATTTGCTTCCAATGCCTTCTTTTGATCCACTGTAACATCTCTGGTACTGCCATGTTTGGTAACCTTATTGCTGCCCAGCTTGTTAGTGCATCTCTCATGTTTTTAAACTAACTGCAAATCCCCAAACAGATGTTGATGTGTCTCAATCACTCCCAGATCACATAGGCAGCATTCAGCATTACCTGTTATAGGGATGTTCATCTGTACTAATCTGCTTTTTGTTTGCATTTTTTGTTGGAAAGCCAGCCACAGGACAAATCTGTGTCTTGGCAGCAGTGTCCTACTCCATACCAACTCCATTTCCCTACACCTTGACAATTGTCCTAGCATTGCATTGTAGCTGCTAGATACTGAATACTGCCCATTGCTAGTCAGCCTGTATGTACTTCCATGATACCATTGTTCCATATTTTGTTTTAAACTATTTAACTTCTTCCAATACCAACTACAATCAGATGGTGGCCTATGATCCCAGATGCTTCTACATGATTTCATATACACCCCATGTACCCATCTCACCCACAACACTTCTTTATTTGTCACTAATTGCCATAGTAGTTTCCCAACTGATGCTATATTCCAATTTTTACATCCCTTTATGTTCAATCCACCATACTTCTTTGGTCTGCATAGAACTTCCCATGATACCAATGCCATCTTCCCGTGTCCTTCTGTAGTGACCCATAGATACTCCCTACACTTCCTATCAATTGCTTTTATAACACTTTGAGGAAGTATAAAGACAGCCCCCCAAAAGTTATACATTGCAAACAGTACTGAATTGATCACTTGCAGTCTACCTGCATATGACAGAAGTTTAGCATAGCCTGCTTGGATATTTGTAGTGATCTTCTCTACTAGCTTGTGACATTCTACCTTGCTCCATTTCTTTGATGTTAATGGTAGTCCCAGGTATCTCATTGGTAGTGTGCCCACTGAAAAACCTGTAGTACTCACTATAGCCTGTTTACTTGCTTCATCCATTCCTGCTAAATATATGTTTGACTTCTCCATATTTGCTACCAACCCTGACACTGCACTGAAATGATTCAACACTTCCAACATCCTATGGATAGATTGACTGTTACCTTTGCAAAATAACATCAGATCATCTGCAAATATCAAGTGTGTCAGTTTGGTATTTTTACACATGGGATGAAATTGGAAATCTGGCAGTTCACTCATTTTGTTCAACCCTCTTGTTAGGTACTCCATGACAAGTACAAATAATAATGGAGACATAGGGTCTCCCTGCCTCAATCCCCTTTTTCCTTCAAAGTAGCCATATCCTGCGCCATTCACCTTGACAGTAAAAGTAGTTTTTGTAACACACACCATTATCAGTTGGATGAATGGCATTGGAAAACCATATCCTCTGAGTACTTCCTCCAGAAATTCCCATCTCACCATATCATAGGCCTTCTTTAGATCAATCTTCATCAAGCACCTAGGAGTTGTCTTCCTGTTGTAGTGTCTTAGAAGATCATGGCATATCAGCACATTGTGGATAAGTGACCTTCCTTCAATGAAAGCTGCTTGATTATCAGCTACAATCATTGGAATAACTTTCCTCAATCTAGTACAGATGATCTTGGAAATGCATTTATAAATGACATTACAGCAAGCAATAGGTCTAAATTGACTTGCCTGCAAGGGATTCTTCACTTTTGGAATAAGTGCTATACTGGTAGAGTTGATCTGAGTGAGTAGTTCTCCATTCTCAAGAAATTCCAGCACTGCCTTTATCACATCCTCTCTAATTATTCTCCAGGCTGCTTTGTAAAAACCACTCCCATACCCATCTGGTCCAGGGCTTTTAGTTTCATTTATGCTGAACATTGCTTTTTTCACTTCAGCTCCTGTGTAAAGTCTTAATAGTTGTAGTTGTTGAGTAATTGGTAGCACTTACCCATTTTTCAGAAACCCCTGGATGGCATGATCCCTAAACCTTCTTTTTGTCCCTAGTAATTTCTGGTAATAGTCTACAAAAATTCCTGGTATCTCTTCCTGCTCAGTTTTTATGTCTCCAGCATTATCAGTTAATTGGATAATTGCTTCCTGCAACCTCGTGTGCTTTATTACTGAAAAGAAGTACCTGTTATTATCATCTCCCAGTTTGATCCAGGTAGCCTTGCTCCTTTGTTGAAGATATACCTCTGCCAAGTATGATGATCTTTTGAATTTTTGAAACTTCTGCTTTTCTGCTAGCTGGAGCCCCACATCCACTGGATTTTTATGAAGTTCAGCTTGAGGTGCAGCCAAGGCCATTCTGTCTGCATCAGCTTCTTCTATAATGTTGCTGAAATACTTCTTATTCAGCATCTTCAAATCCTTCTACATCATTTTTAACTTCCTAACCACTTGAAACATACTGCATCCCTCAACTTCCTTCCTCCATCCTGCCTTAACTATATCTATAAAGTTCGGATGAGATGCCCAAACATTACAGAAATTAAAGGCAGCTTTTGCCCTCCTTGGTGAGTTAACATTTGATAGCTTTAGTGGGCAATGATCACTTATCCCTTCCTCCAAGTAGCAAGCCTTATATGTTGGCATTAGATTGGCCATGCTGTGTTAATGAAAACCCAGTCTATTTTTGATAAGATCCTATTATCTCCATGTCTATCATTCCAGGTATACCTACTCCCACTAGTTGGCATTTCAAGTAGTTCACAATGGTCTATGCACTGCTGGAAGTCTATTATTTCAGCCAAACTTACAGGATTCCCCCCTCCCCCCCCCCCCGCTCTATCATCAGTATGCAGCACAGAATTGAAATCTCCCATAACTATCCATGGGCCCCCCACATTCTTACTCACAGTGTCTAGGTAGTTCCACAAGCTCTTTCTCTCTTCCTTTGTGTTGAAAGCATATACTATATTCATCATAAAGCCAATCTGCAGCCTATTATGACTCACCAGGTATGTTACAACTTGATCAGACATGGAGCTCAGAGTTATTTTAAAACAATCCTGTCTCCATGCCACTCAAATTCTGCCATTATAGTGTTCTCTCAGATTTGTTATACTCCCCCATCCTCCAAATAGCTTGTTTGCCACTTGGTTTATTTTTTCAGACTTTATTTTAGTTTCTACCATGCCTATCAACCCTATCTCTTCTTTATTACAAAGGAGTTTTACCTCCTTTTGTTTGTTAGGGGCATTCATACCCCTAACATTCCAGCATAGAATGTTATCCATTACTCATAGGAGGTAATGCTATCCCTCCCACATTCCCCTCCCCTTTCCTGCTAACCTCAACTCCATCAGTATCCCTTGACTTAAGTATCTGAAAATTATTGTAGTAGCTTCTATCTCCAGTTTCCCTCCCCTGCTTTGTTTGTCTACTTGTGGTTCTTGCAGCATTGCTTGGTGTTATCCACTCTGCATTATCCTGATTTTCTTGCATTCTTTGTTTCCCTGTCTCCATCTTATTCCCTTGCATTTTGCTGGTTCCTTCCCCATCCTTAATAGCTGATGGTTTGTTCATTTGTTCTGTTGGTTGTTCCTCCTTTTTGCCAATCCCCTCCTCTGTTGGTTTGACATCTGCAACTTGTTTTTTAGTTTTACACACCTGTTCATCATGGCCATATTTCCTACATGCTTTGCACAATGTTGGCTTCCAATCATATTGTACTTTCTGCTCCAATAGTAACCCACGCTCATTCTTGAAGAATACTTTATCAGGTAGTTTTGTATCCATCTGAACTTCTACTAAGAGACGTGCAAAACTTAGCCCCATCTTCTTCTCTGTATTGCTATCTACCATCAGAGGTCGACCAACTAAACTGCCAATCTTACTCAATCCCTTAGGGCTCCAGTATTTGAAATCCAGTCCAGGTAGCTTGATCCATATAGGCACAGTATATAACTCCTCTTTTGTGAATTCCATGTCCACATTCCATGCTTTTACAATGAACGACTTGTTATCAAAGTGGTATATACCACCTTGTAGTACTTCATTCTTCCCCATGATAGAATCAAATCGCACTATCACTATCCCATTTTTTAGCATAGAAACTTTGTTTATGCCATGTTTTCCCCAAATCCTTCGTACATATGCATTAAGTACTGTGAATGGTGGGTGGGCTCCCAAAACATAGCACACAACTGCATTTTTCCAGTACTCAATTTCAGAGCTAATGTCCTCTGTCTCAATTTCACAAACAGGTGTTTCATCATGCAAAGCAGGTTCTACAAATTCGAGTTTAAATCCAGCATTAGTTACCTTTGTTATGTCAAAATTATCCCATATAGATCCCCCAGTGTTCATTTCTGGTGCAATCTCTGCAATCTTTGCTCTTCTGCCCACGACAATTTTCCGCTCCCAGCTCCTGATTTCGATGAACCCTCACCCAATTCTGTAGTTATCGTAACTGACGATCTTCCAATTGGTGGAGTTTCACTTACTTGCTCTTCAATTTCCTTTTTCTCTGTCATCTCATCTCTACATGTTACTGTTTCATTGCTTTTTCCTTTTTCAAGCTATTTTTCTGAATTTTGATCTTGTTTCCCTTCCTCGTTCTTCTTTCGTTGCTGGAATTCCATGGTTTCCCTCGCCATTATCGCCTTCTGCGATGGATTCCGAGCTCTCTTCCCCATTGGCGCACGTTAAGCTAACATACGCTGAGAGAGAAAACCCCATGCACGTACAGTTGGATTGCCCTAATTTTAGGCTCTTTTTGCTGCTATATTCATAAATACATGGCACGAATACATGTGAATACATGCGCATGAGGTGGCAACTAAATCTTGTACCTATTGAGCTCTTCAACATAATTCATAGTGTACCTATTACACTTTACTAACAACCCGTCAAAAATACAACATGTGTGTAACTCACCTGCGGATGAGGTGGCAAGGACGAATAATGTGAAGACACGTTATATTTGCTTAGGCTTTGAAAAAAAGATACTTCACTAAATCCCCCCCCCCCCCACACACACACACCCCACACACACAACACACAAAAAATCTTATTCTCAAATATCTATTAGTAGAATTATATTGCATCTTAGAGTTTCTTTTTCGGACTCTTCTTGCTAAATTCTTTTTCTTAGCCATTCTTCTACTCATACAGCGGATACCCCCCAGCTCTGTTCTTAATTTTCTTCAGGTTTTTTCATTTATTTTGTTTCTTTTCCTTTCTTGGTTTTTAACTTAATACAATTTAAGCTCTCGTAGCGATGAGAAATGCAAGATCTTTTTTTTTCTTGAAATTTAAGAGAAATTCAAGTTTTAATGTATTGTATTGAGAGGGGAAACATGTGAATTGTTTGACAGACATCAGTGTTGGTAGATTTATGGCTTGTCTATAATTCGCGTTTGTTTTGGCGACAGATATTTTGGCAGAAAAATTGGACGAAAACTGAAAAATCGAACGACACCTTTGACTTCTCAATTTTAGACCTGATGAAATAATTTGAAGGTGAGGTCTGTGGTTCTGTGTTGATGGTAATTTTCTCTGTGTATATGAAAACTTTGAGAGACAGTGAGGTGCAAAACAGGTCAAGTTTTGGTGAAACTACTGGTGCAATTGGGTATGTGTGTTTTGTTGTTGACTTCGAGTTATGGTTTCTTAATGGACAGAGGGAGACGCTGAAGAGTAGTCAATTAGTATTTAGTAGTGGTTATGGCGTTTTGGGGTTGATGTAAGTGGTGGTTCATGGTGGATATAAGATGGAATGTGAAGGAGAGGAATTTTGTAGCATCGGTTCATGTTAAAAGTATATCCTTTTTTTAGACACCAATATCAGTTCACGCGCCTTAGGGAAGTGAGACACACTTATTTTGCCTTGTCAGCATTTTGTATCTTATAGGAACACTATAAATCATGTTGGAGTGCTTAATAGGTACAAGCGTTAGTTGGAATGTTTAAATGAAAACTAGAGCCAACTTTAAGGGATTGCTTATGTATTTGACTATTAACTATTATAGTTTAAAGGTATTTAATGTGATGCTATCTTACCGAACACTTCTTTATAGACGGTGTTGTTTTGTATATGTTTCCTTCTAATACTTTGGTTACTCCGTCATAACCAGAACTCCTGTTGTCGATATTGATATCTCTCTCGAAAGTGCAACATATAATTATTCGTGTAAGAAAATATATTGCAGTAAATATAGTTCAATATTTAGGATGTTTCTCCTTTTGCTTTATTTATTATAACTACAAAACATAAACATACTGAAAATTATTTTCACATAAATTTAAAAGGATATTCTTTAATTTCGGAAGACGAAAGTTGAATTCGGGGATAAACATATTCTTAGAAGCATATTGACCAGCATCATAAGTTCTGCATGTATGACGTTATTGTCAAAACTTCTATGTATCATATGTGTACTATTAAATAAGTTATTCAGCGGATCTAAGTTTTCAATAGCATGACAGGCATAAACCTATATGCAATGGAAGATCAATTTTAACTTAATCTATTATATATATATATATGGTGACACTAACATATGTAAGAAATAATGAACTTGACATCAAACATGCACGGTAGAAGGCCAATTGGTATTTAAGTATTTAAGTATTCTTCTTGATAGTTATTGTTGGTATCATCTTCTATTGAGTCAGAATTGAAAAATATTTTATTTTTGCCATAAAACTTAGCAATCAACATTTTATTTAGTTGATCAACATATTCATTTCTGCTAGCTAAGATAGCTCTTTAATTTCTATCATGTAATTTGTACAAATTGTGTTTTAATTTAATGATGAAAATATTTTCCTTGTTAATTGCACTACTGTTACCATTAGGGTTGATAACCAAGTGTTCTAGAAGAACCAAATCATCTTTTATTGGATGCTCTTCTTCGTTTCCGACACGAAGCAAGACGTCACTGAATGTTGGATCTGTTCTTACTTTTACATTTCTTGTCATTTGAATATTTATCATTTGAGGTCATAAGTATAATTTTTGCAAGCTAGCTTTACAGTTTCTGATTTGGTCAATTTTGGAACTACTGATCGTACTTGACAGAAATCACCTCCCAAACTGTTACTTTTCTACCAAACGGTTCATCGATATCCAATATATCTCTAAAACTCTAGACGATTGTTTCGATCGTCTGACGATTAGCCAAAAACACTTCATCCCATATTATCACTTTTGCTTTTGTTATAAATTTAGTACTATTGATCTGATTTTATATATTTGTGATGGTTATTTAAGTTATTTGAAGAGGTATATCAAATCTAAAGTGAGTTGTACGACCTCATAATAAATTGTTGCTGGTATACCACTTATTCTTATTGCTAACAATATTATGCCTCTTGACATGACATTTGCAAGTAATGCATGACATAGGAATATTATTTCGATTCCGCCGGAGGCATCTACAAAGGATAATCGCGCTACCAGGATCGATTTTTTTATAATATAGTCTTGAAAGCTTATTCTTGTTCAAGATTTAGCTTTAACCGTGCTTCCTCAAATACTTGTATGGCCTTCTTAATATTATATTTTTTTTTAATTTAAAAAATAATTTTACTCATATGATGAATTTAAAGAATAATTTAATTGGATTCTCTAAATAATTAATTAAAAGATTTAATTATTTGATTTGATTCTATGTTGATATAGATTCTTAATATTAGTTCATCTCATGATTGAATATTTAACCATGATTATAATTTTATCCACCATAAATTTTATTTTCAAAGAGTAAAAAGATCGATGACATTCCACTTTTAGATCTTTATGTTTGCAAAATCGTTAGTGGTATTGGCTCTTACCAATATTTTTCTTTCTTTTCTCACACATTTATTTTTTTTTAAAAATTTTCTTAGTTGTTCTTTAATAACTTGGTCTATTTTTCTATATTACACAAAAATTAATAACAAAAAAAATTATTTGAGTAGGAAAGCAGTTCAAATATAATATAATAATATATTATTGTAGGGATTTTTTTCTCAATTTCTACGCTTTAAGCAGTCCGTTTAGCATTACTTTTTCTTTTGGTATTGAATATTATAAAGTGGTAATGTATTACCATTATGGAGGATTCTTATGAAATTGATTTTATTCAACCTTCTTAATATTTTTAATAAGAATTCAATAGACAAGCTTGTATTAATTTTAAAATCGTAAATATTAAAAACTTAACATAGAAGTTGTTGTAGTTAAAAAAAATAAGTTATTACAACTATATCCTTTCCCTATGAGTTCTTCTGTTTAATATTTTTGAGGTATTTCGGTCTATCAATATTATATTCGTGCTTTTATAATAATATAGGCTCTCCTGTTTCTAAATGGATTTGGACAATATAATACGTTTTCAAATTAAATTAGTATTAGAAATTTTTTAAGAAGTATATCCTAAAAGTAATAGGATTACAAGGCTAATATCTATGCCCGAAAATAATTATACTAATAGGATTCCTAAAGTTAATCATATAGGATTCCTAACATGTAGTATTATGTCCTAAAACTAATAGGATTACAAGGCTAATGTCTAGAATTCCGATTATGTCCTTTTATTGAATTTGTTGTGCCAGAAAGCAAAAATTATATTCCCCATCTAAAGGCCAAGAAGTGCATACTGAATTTTTTTTTACTTGGCCTGGTTATCATTATAGCCCCACCAAAGGAGCATAGCCGCAGACTGGATGTCATGTTAGGGGTAAAATTTATAAGTTCAAGGTGGAGGAAAAAGTAATTTACGTCGTGCCGCGTCGTTAAATTAGGCGCTTGTTGGGAGGCAACCCAACTTTACTGCTTTCTTTTATTTATGTCTATTTTATTATTTTTGTAGTGTTGTTTTATTTTGTAGGATTTTGAGCATAGGGAGCAAAGCCACAGGAAGTGTGCAAAAGTGAGCCATGTGGTTAGAACTTAGTGTGGGGTGCCCGCACAAAGGGCTGTACCTGGGAGGAGTCTGAGTATCCCATGAGCTGCTAATGCTTCGACCTTTGGCCTACCAGGGAGTCTCTTTTACCCTCTTGTTATTTTCAGTGTGCATTGAGAACATTGCACAATTTTAAGTGTGGGGTGAGGAGATTGTCTGGGTGATTTTCTGTGCTATGTTAGCTTAGTTATAGTACTCGTTCTTAGTGTAGTAATTTTTTTTTACAAAAAAAAAACAAAAAAAAAATGGAAAATTTGGACTTTTCCCGACGATGGATTTTAAGGTCAAATAAAAAAAATGAAAAAAAAAATTTAAAAAATAAAAAAACACTAAAATATGTCTTTTATTTTTTTTTTTAGGTAGTAATAATCCCCCGTGGTTTTTCTTTCTGCATCGGTTCTTTTCCATGGGATGTTGTTTGAACCGGGTAGCTTTTTTTCTTTTAGAGTAGATTAGGAATTTAGGAAATAAAAGGAGGAAGAATGATGAACTTAGGCGCCTTGACTTGTTTGATAGTAGCATATTTAGGCTTAGGCATGTGTAGTATCTTCCCTATGATTTGAAATTGATCATGATGCCTCGCT